ATACGGCAATCAACCTAGCTGTTTCACACGTTATGCCAGCCACGCACCACTTCCGGAGGTGGGCGGCGGATTGACAGGCGGCCCTGGATTGAAACCGAACGCCCCGGGGCCTTAACGGGGTTTTTCAAGGTGGGAAGTTGCTGCAATGTGTGCAGCTACCCACATACAACCTCCAGGCACGGGAATTATTAGGTCGTGAAGAAAGTTCTTGCGCTTTTCGACCTTGATTTTCAAATGCCTGTATCTCGGCTCATTCGAAACCTTTTTGATTGGAGTAAAGACTGTTAGAATCCACAAACCTCTGCCAATAATAGCTGCGTTGAATCAGCCCGGTAGTGCAGAATACTGGAGCTCTAGAGACGATGAACCCGGCGGAGGTCGTTTCCGCATCATGTTGGTTTTGAAGCGTAACTCTCAAAGTGACAAATTATAGGCAAAAGGTCTACCGAGTAGGATGTTCGCAGGACTAATTCGTAGCCAATCTTGTCAACTTCTGCAGGGTTGGTTGTGGAATGTGCGTCCGAGCTACCTGTCAGGGACGAGCCGGTTCCTTTATAATGAGGAATTTCGAGCATATGTGCCAGAGTTCTAGGAGTAGTTTGACACATTATCAGGAGTACTTTTCCACATTAACAGATCCACCTGGTTACGAAAAGCTAGACCAGCCGCTGACCTTATGAAAGTCACCTCAACCTTCCTTCAGTGAAGTTTCACTTTTGCAAAGTTTGTAGAGCCTGATCGCGGTCGATCACTTCACCAAAGGTTCGTATTCTGTAGCAAAGAATCCGTTCTTTGTCGTGCGTCGCAAATGATCAAAAAGTCAGGTCGTTTTCATGGCATGAAACAAGCTAGAACGCGGCGAACGACCCTTCAAAATGGTGAGCTGTCGCGGCACGCCCTATTTGAATTTTTGGGACTTTCCAGCTCTTCCCGTACAACAAGAAAACACAATGCAAGTGCGATTAGTTTAGGAGGAACCCTCTCAATAGATTTGTGCAAACGTGCTTCAACCAGAACGTTCGACTAATCGTTGGCGTTGTCCAATCTCCGATCACCACCCTCACAATCTTTAGGGCTCTCGCTATTCTTACAAAAGCTTTTTGAACAATTGCTTCAGACCATATTTATTGCGAATCTCAGCCAAGTGCGTCTATAATATCTTGACCTGCTTCCTCTCCATACTGGCCTGCTTTGAGCTAGAAAAAGGAAATCATGCAAATTTGCTCTTGGAGTATGCCGTATTCAAGGCTTCAAAAAATGACAACTAAATGATAAGGAACATAGCTAGCCTAGCTGTTAGATAGAACAAGAAAAGCTCTTCAAAACCACATACAGCTCATTGGCAGCTTGCTTGAATTCGTAACAAAATAAAGCGTTCAAAAACGAAACACCGAAAAGCGCAAGAACTTTCTTCACGACCTAATACTTCTCTAGCGTGCCTGCCCGACCTTTGCCCTTAATTTAGCATTACAAACAAGCTTATTTCCCCGGCATATTTCATTCCTTGCAAAACCCATGGAGTCCAAACACCTCAAACAGCCTGAGGAATCACGCGAACGAATACTCCCCATGAAGATCGAGTCGCCTCCGTAATAGGACTGTTCATCAACGCTGACTCTCTGCACGACGCTCCCTTATCTACGGGCTTATCTTTTCACGACATTTTCCTGCAGTGCTAGGAAGTCAAGGAACATTTATATGCAAAGGATCGTTCTTTTACAAAAAAAGAAGTTTGCTTGATATAATGGTTACGCTGCTAATCAGTCGTTCGATTATTGGCTCGCACTGAGGGCCGGAGCTATCTCCTTGATCGTTCAAATGCAGTCGATCATTGGTATGTAGAAAAGGGGAATTACGCCTATCATTAAGGAAAATCATAAGAAAACGAAACGTAGTTTTTTGCGGCAAAGGGGGCATCCGCGTCAAGGTGAAAAGAACTTATCTCTTGTCTTCGGTGGCCAGGTGCGCGTCGAGTACAGACGACACAGTACGAGTGGCGACGGCTTCCTTAAAATGTAATTTTCCTTGGCCATTAAAAGGAGGTTGCAGTCATATTCTATCAGCTGCCACTAATTACAACTATCAGCTACCCCTATAAACTACTAGTTATCGAATTAATTATAGCCTGTCGTACATTGTGCTGTGTGGTCTGCACTCGACGCGCACCTGGCTGCCGGAGGCACAGTGTACTTGTGATAAGGGTTGTCTCCCGATCGGACGCCTTAGCTGCTCTCATCTCGCCGTCAGACTATGGTCCTTTCAGCAGAGAGAGCAGAGCGTTCACGCTGATGACGTCAGCAGTAGCTACGATTCCTCCAATGCCGGAATCAGTGGGAAAACAAGGTCCAGTCCTACTGAATTCGTGTCGCTTTCCTTGATTTTTCCGAGCTCATACTAAATTCGGGTCCCTTCCCTTGATTTTTCCGAGCTCATGCACCATTTAGCATCGCCAGTTTCATTCC